CCGGCGACTACATCAATAGACGGGGCTCCCGCCCTATATGACTCCCATATTCAGGCCTCAGGGGTATGAGCGTGAAGATAGTTACAAGATTCCGATGACCCGCTCGCATTACTCGCATGAGGTGCGGGCCTCATACTGAAGGGGCTCCCACCTAAGACTTCCTCGCAATTCACTCACAAACGAAGCTCCCGCTCGAGACGTCCTCAAATGATTGCGTGCGCGTGTGAATGATGGCGATGGTGGCGGTGATGATGGTGACCGACAAGTCCTCCGACTGCTGGCCCGAAGGCTGCTCCAACAGCATCGCCAACAGCGGCATCGACAGCGGCACCGACCAGTTCTCCGACTGCTGCCCCGACGACTGACCAGCAGCATCACCAACAGCAACAGCGGCATCGACATAGGCACCCTCCGGCTCACCGACTGTTGCTCGACGGCTGCACACAGCAGCCCGCGCTGCAGCACCGACAGCGTCGCTGATCAGTTCAACGACTGCTGCCCCGACGGCTGCAACAACAGAACACCAACAGCGGCATCCACAGAGGTACCGGCCATTTCTCCGATTGTTGCCCCGACGGCTACACCAGCACATCAGGATGACATGAGCATGTGCACATTTGGCCATTGATTCAGGTGGCTGTAGTAAAGTCGGGGCGCTGAAGAAGGAACCCTTTTCGTTGGGGAGGGGCTCGGTGTTCCTTGATTGTTGCACAGTTTGCCTGAGGCTTGCCTTTTGTGTTCCATGGGAAATCAAAACTTAATTAATGGGAGCAAGGGACCTCGTTCCTTATTTCGGGATCCTCAGGTCAACGCCCCGAGTGCATTTCTTGTTTATGCGTTACTTATTCCAGCTGCTACATCTGATACCAGCGTACTTCCGGCACGGGCGCTGTGTCTGCATAACACAGCGCGTTTACATGGTGGTGTGCGTACGCTCATGGCTCAAACCATCCTGCAAAGTGTACTTTGCCTGCAGGGGGCGACCTCGTGCCGCATTTGCTACGCAGATTTCTGCGCTGATGCAGCATGTTTACGCGGTGACTGAAGCACGATGTGTTTCGGGCACTTTGTAAGTTTTAGTACAGTGACGGTGTGAAGGGTGAAGTGGTTGTGGGCGGAGGTGGTTTACTATTGCTGCTTCTGTTTCTTTTTCTTTTTCTTCTTCTTCTTCGCAGCAGCAGCGTCTGTAGACAGTCGTCTTTTTTTTTCCAAAGTTTCAGCGTAGCGTGCCGCGTTAGCGGTCGGCATTGCAATCCAGAGGGAGATCAATACTACTGGTCGATCCCTGCGCTATGGGAAATGACTCAGCACGAAAAACTTGCTCGAGATTGCACGGTTGTGACTCTGAGGCGTCATGTGCTACGGGCTACGGTCCAGATCATGAAATGATTCATGTTGATCTCCTCTCGCTCCATATTCGGCGATGTAGCGCCGATTTTAGGTTATTCAGGAGGGGAAAGCACACAGACACAATTAATCGTCGGCTCCCAGGGAATATCAGAAAATTCGGGAAGTGTGGGGGGGACGAAGCCCCAATTATGTTGGACAATGATAGGGAATCCCAGAATTTGTTGTGCGTCCCTGGCCTCCGCAGCGCCCCAGGAGGGCCCAAGACGCCTCCCGAAGCCCCCAGAATTCGACAGGATGGTCCAAGACGCTCCCGTGCAGCCCAAGTCAGCCTTCCGACGGCTCTCGAGGCTCCCAGGTGGCCTCTAGGAGACCCCAAGAGAGGTCCGAGAGGCGTCCCGGGACGGCCCGAAGAGGCCCAAATCGTAGATGCTCATTGGTTTTTTCAATGTTTTTGGCGTCTCGCGTTTTCGAGCTTCCAATGGTCCAAGAGCGCCGAAGAGGCTCCAACGACCGCCCCAAGACCACCCAAGAGACCCTCAGGACGGCCCCAAGACAGCCTCAGACCATCCCAAAACAGGCCCAAGATGGGCCCAAGAGCGAGAGCAGGAGGCTTCCAGAGACCTCCGAGAGGTCTCCGGGACCCCCCAGAGGCCTCCGGGACCCCCCAGAGGCCCCCAACACACCCCCGATCCTTGAGAGACCCCAGAAAGACCCCGACGAGGCTCCAAGAACAGCCCAAGAGAGTTACGAGAGCCGCCCCGAGAGAACCCAAAGAGGGTCAAATCGTTGCTTTCCTATGGTTTTTCTAATGCTTTTCGCCTTCTCACGTTTTCCCGCTTCCAACCCTCGAAGATCGAGGATTTTTACAAACAAGAAACATAATTCCCTTAATGTGTTTTTAAAGTGGGGCGCTGCCAGGATATCTCGAGCGAGGCGTTGATTCAGCACCCGAGGCGGCCAGTCCGTTGGGATGCATCGAGCGAGGCGCTCCATGTTGCACCTCAGACTCTTGTCGATTCATATGCCCATTATCAGGTTTCGCGCCCCTCCCACCCGTCCAGGGAGGCCCCGCCTGAGCTTCGCCCACGCCGTGACGCCCCTGAAGCGCAAACGCGCCTTGGACGACGCAGCCTCGGCCTCTTTGGCTGCGGACATGACAGCCCGCAGCCGCGGGCTTGTCGATGTGCGAGATGCTTTTTCT